GCAGGACATCCTGAAGAGTAGAGCATGGGCACAAGCCTTGCCTAGAGGTGAGACAGTAGGACAAGGACACAGCGTTTGCTTCCCGTGGTTTGCATTCCACAGTGGGAAGCAGGATGGGTGAGTCTTCTTAGGGAGTGTGTGTCCTAGTGCACAGGTGATGATTCAACAAGAGGTCAGGATGCTTACCACATACAACCTGTTTTCACAGCAAGGGCCTGAGGGTGAGAAGGCAGAGAGAAGAAAACCTCCCAGAGACCACTTTGGACACTGCCCTGAGGCCACCTGCAGGATCCCTCTATGAGGATGACAGCAAGCACACACCAGCAAAACAAAAAGTGAAATAAAAATAAATCTGGAAAACAGAATAGAATGATCATTTATATGCCTGGGATAAGTACATTTTATGATCTGGGGCTGAATTATGTGCCCTGTGAGAGTTGCTCACCTTGTTTTACATGCACATCCAGGTGTCTATTTTTTTGTTTTCTAGAAGACCATAGTGCCATGGATTTAAATACCTCTAAAATTTAAAATTCATACATCATACATTTCTCATCCATATTCCAGTCCTGAGTCAATAATTCCTCCTGGATGTCTTCATTTGCATGTCTAATTTGCCTCTCCAATTTAACATGTCTAAAAATGAGGTCTTGATGGATCTTAACTTCTTTAACCCTTCATCTTCCCTTTTGCGGCTCTTTTTGCTCTGGTTACTTTTGAAATAGGCTTTTGCTTTTATGGCTTGAACCTCCTATTTTAGTCTTCTTACCATGGCTGGAACGACAGGACATGCACAGTGGTGTCCAGCTATCCATTGAAATGGGGTTTTATGAACTTTTTGCCCAATCTGGCCTTGAACACCTCCTAAGTAGCTAGGATTACAGGTATGAGCCACTGGCTCCAACTCATTTTCTCTTCTTAATCAATGACACTACTACCCCACCTGTTGCTCAAACCAAACCCTGGCATTCCTTGCTTATTTTTCATGTCCTCTGGATGCTGATCTTATCTCCTGATCTCTTTCCCCATCTCCACTCACTGTACTTACCCTAGTCCAAGTCACCACCATCCTTTCCCCCAGACTGCAATTTCCTGGTCTTTGCATTTCTCCATTTGCCTCTTTGTGATTCAGTCTCATTTCACCCTCAGCATTTCTCTCCTTTGCTTAAGAACCATCATTGGCTTTACCCTGTAAGCTCTACCATCTCTACCCTTATCTTGTACTGCCTTCTCCCATGGTCCTTGTGATCATTTAATACTCTGTAGTTCAGGCTTTTAGCCCTTGTATCTTCAGAATGTTCTCTCCTTGTTTATTACCTTGGTTGGCCCATTCTCATCTTTGAATTGTCAATTGAAATATTATTTCTTTAGTGAGAACTTGCCCCACTAACACCCTCTTTGAAACTGTACTCCAGGTTCATTTCTAACATAGTTCCCATGTATTCTCTTCAAAGTGTACCAGTATATCACACAAGTATCTTCTTTACTATTGGCTGTTTAAATGGTCTGCCTAGAATGTAATGAATGTAGGAGAAGCTTCTAAGGGCAGATGTTTTGCTAGATCACTGTTAAATCCTCAGCAACTGGCACCATTCTGGAAACCCAGGGGCTGTCCAATAGATGCAGTTAAATAAATGCATGGCCTGTGCTCATTGCACACACCTCAGCCTGGATGCCACAGAAGACAGTCTGTGCTGGCATGAACTTGGTGCTCAGTGGATGCTGGGCACCTGATCACCTGTCACTGGAAGCAGGGATACAGATTTTATGGAGGGAGGGAGCTGAGACTCACGTCTTCCTTCATCTGGGAACTGACACTTCTGAAGGTGTGACTGCATTCATCCTTAATCTATGCTTAGAAAGAAAGACTTAGGCATGAGGATTTTTCTTAAGTGAAAAAATGAGTCTATTCCACAAAAGAACTAAAAACAGAACTCTGATTCATGAATTTGCTAATGGCATTTCTCTCCCAGAGGAACCTCCATGCACATTGAAACCTTTCTTATGCCCGGTGTGGCGGTAACCGCAGCCATCAGTTCTGTCTGGAGCATGGCAGGTAGCGCCAGCCAGTTTGACAGGAGCTGTGAGATGGGGTTCCTGCCACCACCACACTAGGCTGGCAGAATGCAGGCTCCTTCCCAGGCTTCTTTGTTTTGAAGTCACTGACCTAGTTGACAACCACTTGGATAAAAATGGCATTGATATAAAAGAACACACAAATGGATAATTCCTTATAATTTTTGAAAATAAAAACAAAAAGAGTCATGAGCAAGTCACGTTACAACCCAGAAAATAACTGCAGATAATGGAACAAGGGCAAAAGAGGGTCTCCTATATTATATTTGCTGTTGCTTTCCTTTAGATTTTTTTTTAAATGCAGCAACTTTTGCATGAAGTCTAAACTGCTTAATTACATGCCCTGTAAGTGGGAAAACTGTGGACTGCGTAAAGGTGATATACTCGCTTTCAACCCTTCACTGATACACACAAGGGGAGGGGAGGGAGTGGAGACCCACAACATAAAAAGGAAGCAGAGCAACTGCCTGATAGAACCCCATAGGTCACAAGGGACAAAGTAGAGATGAGATGCAGTGAGTGCTACAGTCAGCATCTCTCTTCCCCTTCCACCACCACCTCACCACTTCCCTGCAGATCCAGGAGCGCCTCCCTCCCTCTTCCCCCTCATCCTCTGGGAGCAAACTCTGTGAACATCACTGTGATTTTAAAACACTGCATGCAACACAAAGAACTCTTCCATGCATCGTGTGGTTTGGGAGTACCTTTCAGTATCATTTGCATCATTATCCTCAGTGAACTCTTACTGGTGCAGAGGCAGCTACATAAATACACTGAGTAGCTGTCAGCCAATTCACTGTGGCCACAGCCAGCCAGAAAGGGGAAAACGAGGCACAGAGAAGCAAATGTCACGTGACATGGAAACTATAGTCTGAAGAGACCAGATGAGACCTCCCCTATCTGATCTAGGGAAGAAAGATGATCTGGTCTCTGGCAGAAATGTATGGAAAACCTCCCTATCTGCAGACCTCTGTGAGAGTTAGGGGAAGACTATGGTGCTCCATAACAACAAACTTGGCTCTGCCCTGCCACTTTGCCAAATGAATCTTCATTGTAACATGGCCTAGGAACCGAAGACATCTTCTGGTAAAGCACCTGGAAGGAAGTGACCAGCACAGATTAGATTGAATGTAGCTTTTATTATATGTATATTGGCATACTCAAATTTGAACTCAGGGCCTCACGCTTGCTAGGCAGGTGCCCCTACTAATTGAGCCATGCCCCCGGCCCATTTTTTTTCCTTAGTTATTTTTTGGAGATTTTTTCTCTTTTTTCCTGGGGCCAGTCTCAGACCTCAGTCCTCTTACCTATGCCTCCTGTGTAGCTGGGATGACAGGTGCACCATATGGCAGGCCTGGCTTATTGGTAGAGATGAGGTTGAGATTGGTCCTACTAACATTTCCCTTGGGGTGGCCTGGAACAGTAAGCCTCTTGATTTCCCTCCTTTCAAGTAGCTGGAATTACAGGTGAATACCACCATGCCCTCTCCCCCTTTTAAAACCGACACTGACTACTCCCTTTCTACTCTACTCACATTTCCCTCACGTTTCTTGGTTGCATCATAAGCAGAAATCCCAGATGCATTTCAGGGAATGCTTGAAGCAAAAGCTTCTGGGAGTGCATTTCCTAGGCTATGATATGTCACTCATCCCACCACCCTCTGGTTCTGTTTTCACTGGGACTACCTGGGAGAAGGAGAACTTGTGATGGGTTGATAGGCTTCCCACCCCTTTCAGGGGATCACTTAGTCATCCTAGGAGAGCTGCAGCCTCACCCTCCCCTGTTTGCAGAGGGAGGTTCCCTGGGGCAGGGGGGAGATTTACTTTGGGATACAACCTAGTTTGGAAGCTCTCAAGCTATTTAAGAAAGCCTTCCTCTTTTTTTTTTTTTCCCCCTCCAGTAATGCTGGAGAAGCTGGCAAATGGGTCTTTGTAAATACAGAGGGACGGCATAAGGTTTATTTATTTTTTCATTAAATGTCCCGGTAAGGAGAGACACAGTGCTCTGTGTGGTGGAGTGGGGAGGGGTGAACCCTTATTGATGAAATACACAGCGTAGGTCACCTCTGTAAACAGAATTGAGACAAGCGGGTTGTGAGGGTGGAGGGGGCGTGGCATTAGGGTATGGCGCTCCTTTAGGGGACCGTGCATGAGAATGTGTGAAACCTAGAGGCGTGCCAGGAGAGCGCGGGAGAGATTATAGGAGAGGCAAGTGTGCGTCTATTTCCACAGCCCTGGCTGGCGGCAGCCCCTGGCTGGGTGAGGGGTGTGATGTGGGAGTGGGGTGGGAGGGGGCAGCAGGCGGGGCCTGCCACGTCACTTGGAGAGTGTGTGCTGGTGAGGAAGGACAGAGCAGAGAGGCGAGCCGCTGCTGCTGCGGCCGCTGCAGCCACAGCGCTCCGGCGCCGGGGCAGCCCCAGGGCCCTCTCCGAGGCCTGCGGAGCGGCTCCCAGGGAGGAGGGGGCGGTGGTGGCTGTTGCAACCGCGACCTTGGCCGGACCCAGCCTAGTGGTGGACGTAGGGCGGAGGCGGAGGCCGAGCAGGGGCAGGAGTCTTTGCTGAGCCAGAGGGAGGCGCATCTGGAGCTTTGGTACCAGCGGCAGCCGGGGGGTCGTGAGAGGCTGGAGAAGAGCAGTGGGAGCTGGGAAGAGCCAGCCCGCCTGGAGGGCGGACTCCTGCGTCCGAGAGCCCAGTCTCGGGCACAACCAGGGGCGAAGCCACGCGTCTTTTCCGGCAGCCAGTCTCACGCGCGCCAGTTTGAGGTACCAGGCATCCCAGTAAGATCAGCAAGCCAGAGGCGGGTACTGGAAGCCAAAGCCACATCTTCTGCGTTCAGATCACCTCCCAGACCTAGCCTTGCAGGGACCACAGGTCTCCCCGACCGAGCCGCCAGGTCAGATCGCGAGCCCCACCCTAAAGGAGGGAGCCGCCGAGAGCTGGGAAGCGGTGCTGCGCTCCCGAGGTTGTGTCGTGGGCGCCGTCCTAGCGGCGTGGAGCGCACCGCGGAGGGGACATGAGATCAGAGAAGTCCCTTACGCTGGCTGCGCCGGGGGAGGTCCGCGGGTCCGAGGGGGAGCAACAGGATGCGGGAGAGTTCCCGGAGGCCGGCGGCGAGGGCTGCTGTAGCAGCGAGCGGCTGGTGATCAACATCTCCGGGCTGCGCTTTGAGACGCAGCTGCGCACCTTGTCGCTGTTTCCCGACACGCTGCTTGGAGACCCCGGCCGCCGAGTCCGCTTCTTCGACCCCCTGAGGAACGAGTACTTCTTTGATCGTAACCGACCCAGCTTCGATGCCATCCTGTACTACTACCAGTCGGGGGGCCGCCTGCGGAGGCCTGTCAACGTGCCCCTGGACATCTTCCTGGAGGAGATCCGCTTTTACCAACTAGGGGACGAAGCCCTGGCCGCCTTCCGGGAGGACGAGGGCTGCCTGCCTGAAGGTGGCGAAGATGAGAAGCCACTACCCTCCCAGCCCTTCCAGCGCCAGGTCTGGCTTCTCTTCGAGTACCCGGAGAGCTCAGGGCCTGCCAGGGGCATCGCCATCGTCTCTGTGTTGGTCATCCTCATCTCCATCGTCATCTTTTGCTTGGAGACGTTGCCCCAGTTCCGCGCGGATGGGCGCGGTGGGACCAATGATGGTGGTGTGAGCAGAGTCTCCCCAGTCTCCAGGGGGAGTCAGGAGGAAGAGGAGGAGGAAGATGATTCCTATACATTTCACCCTGGCATCCCCCATGGGGGAGTAGGGACAGGAGGCTCACCCTCACTCAGTACTCTTGGGGGCTCCTTCTTCACTGATCCCTTCTTTCTGGTGGAAACGCTTTGCATTGTATGGTTCACTTTCGAGCTGCTGGTGCGTTTCTCTGCCTGCCCCAGCAAGCCCGCCTTCTTTCGCAACATCATGAACATCATTGACTTGGTGGCCATCTTCCCCTACTTCATCACCCTGGGCACTGAGCTGGTGCAGCAACAGGAGCAGCAAAGTGCAAGTGGTGGGGGTGGCCAGAACGGGCAGCAGGCCATGTCCCTGGCTATCCTCAGGGTGATCCGCCTGGTGCGCGTGTTCCGGATCTTCAAGCTCTCCCGCCACTCCAAGGGGCTGCAGATTTTGGGCAAGACCTTGCAGGCGTCCATGAGGGAACTGGGGCTGCTCATCTTCTTCCTCTTCATCGGAGTCATCCTCTTCTCCAGCGCCGTCTACTTTGCAGAGGCTGATGATGACGACTCACTCTTCCCTAGCATCCCAGATGCCTTCTGGTGGGCAGTGGTTACAATGACCACTGTAGGTTATGGGGATATGTATCCCATGACCGTGGGAGGTAAGATCGTGGGCTCTCTGTGCGCCATTGCTGGGGTCCTCACTATCGCCCTGCCGGTGCCAGTCATCGTCTCCAACTTCAACTACTTCTACCATCGGGAGACAGATCACGAGGAGCAAGGGCAGTATACACATGTCACTTGCGGGCAGCCCACACCAGACCTGAAAGCAACTGACAATGGACTTGGCAAGCCAGATTTCTCCGAGGTCCCCCGGGAACGGAGGCCTAGCTACCTTCCCACTCCACATCGGGCATTTGCTGAGAAAAGGATGCTCACAGAGGTTTGACAGAGCGAGCTGGGCCTGCGGGAGAAGGGGAACTCTGAGCAAACCATCTCTTAGGCTTCCTTCTTATCTTCACTCTTCGTGCCCTAGCTCCAGTTGAATTCTGAGTTTCTTCCCTGCATCCAGTGCACAGCATCCAGAGCCAAGTACTGGGACTGTCAACCTTGTTGCCTGATCCCTGCAACATTCAAGGTTTATCCATTTAAGCGACATTTTGGAAATTCCAACGGTGCCACCCACTCATGCCCATCTTCTGTCATGTGAATGAGGCATACATTTCCGCTGACCTTTCCTCAAGACTCTGATTTTTCATATCTGGGACTTGTGATATCTCTAGGAATAGTGATATTGATAGAACAGAAAACAGTCATACTTGGGTCCTGTCTCTCTCCTTAGCATCCTTTGCTTTGGGACCTGCACCTGTCCTTGCTTCTGGTCACTTGGTAACTGGCAGAGGCTGGAGGATGGAAACTGTTCAACTTGCTGTTTGATTCCAGAGCTATAACATCTGCCAGTCATCCTGCAGAGGGCCCGGATTGCACAGTCTCAAAATATATTACTCATGTCTAATCTTGGATGGGATTAGGGAAAATACAATTAAACTGGACCATTTGGAGGACTTGAGGGCCAGTCCTGGATCACAGGGGCCAATGGATTCTCCCAGGTGTGATCCTGTGCAGGGGACACTGGTCTTTGGTCCACATTTAGCCCTCCCCACTTTGATCCCTCTCTCTTGAGCTTCCAGGAAGGTTCTTTCAAAGAGCCAAATACTCTTTTTGTGTAAGTGCCTTCCTGTGCAAGAGGAACTGGAAAAGGGAACCACCGAGCCAGGAGGAATAGCTCAATAGAGCCAAGCAATTGGCTGGACCACAGATCTGAAGCCAGGTGCCATTTAACAGAGATTTTCATCTTGGTGGGGCAGAGGAGTCTTGCTGCAGACAGCAGCATTTTCTCCCTCAGCCCCCAGCCACACCTCAGCCCTCTATCTTTCTTCCTGGGAATCTGATTTAGGATTGTAGTTAAAGGCTTTCTAAAGCAACCTTAGCTCATGTATACAAACAGAGGGAAGCACACATCGGACGCCAGCATGGGTTCCTTCCCCTGCTGTGGTTTAGAGTAAGGTAAAAGCAGTGCTCCTTTGCAGACAGCCCCACTGTTAGAGGTTTTTTCTGAGTCAAGCAAACATTCCCTGCTCTGCCCCTTGGAGCTGCATCTGGCCTGCTCTAACTGGTAAGGTAATGTGGTGGGTTCCCACCTGGACTAAGCTATCTTCTTCCATTGTGAAGTCACTGCCATCCCTCCCACCTGCCCACCACCCTTCATTCTCTCCCAGGAACATTGCCATTCAGTTCTTGCCTTTGATAAACTGTGATACACTGTTCTGAGCTTTTCTGGGTGCACTTCTGAAATCAAAAGGACTGTTAATATGTTTTTAATTTTATACCTATGCTTTAAGACTCTTCAGTGAGAATTTATTTTAATAAATTATTTTCTTGGAGAGCAACAAAGGGATAGCCCTTGTGGGATTGCTTGAAAAACAGTGAGGCTCCCATGAGTGCTATATTACAATCTGGATTTTGCCACAGCTTTACAGGGTAACTTTGGCACCACAGTCCCTCTTTGTGTCTCAGTTTCCCCACCTGCTAAAATGGGGACACTAATGTCTTCCCCTCCCTACCTCATGGGGAGTATTGAACTCATCCAGAAAGCCGGGGAAGACACTATGCAAATGTGTAAATTATTGTAATGGATTGGATTTTTAGTTCATTATCCTGTGTCCTTATCTCCTAGAGGCAAGGCCTTCCCAGAGAGTTTCTGTCTTGTACTCAAAGCCCAAGAATAGGCCTTGATAGGCTATTAGCTCCCAAGTCCCTCCTTGGCATTGTCTTTTTTCTTACCCTTCAGAACGGAGGGTATTCTTTTGGTAGGATTGGTGTGATCCTTCTAGGGCCAGAGGTCACTTTGTCCAGGAGCTTAGCTTCTCCATACCTGTAATACAGTAGGAGACAGAGGGGTTTATGGTTCAGAAACCTGTTCTGAAGTCAGAAAGTGTTACTTTTCCAAACCTCTTCAGTTACTCCTGAGCCCACTCCAGTGGCCAAAGGGTTGCTCCCAGCTGATGGTGGAATAAGTGTGCATGCATCTCTATGTATGTGTATGTAATCACGCTCATCACAATCCTTAAGCAAACATTGCCTTTTCAAGTCAGAGCATGCCTGAAAGTAAAGGTTTGTGGAGAGCCAGTCTCTCCAGGGACTCTGGTTGCCGTAGCAACCTTCCAGACTGTTCTCTCTATCTTCTGATTCGGGCATTGAGGGAGAACAGGCACATATTCCCAGCTTCTGAATGGGAGCAGCTCCCACCTACTGCTTTAGGGTTGGTAGAACCAGGACAAGGACTCAGGACCTTGGAAAATGCAGAGGAAGTAGGTCCCCCGAACTTCCTCTCCAGATTTTACTTCCTGGTTCCCCACCCAGTCCTTGAAGCTGCCTCATCTTATCCCCAAATCTTCAGAAACTTGAATGCTAAGAAACTTCCTCGCTAAACAAACATCATTATTAGGATTTTCAAAAGGACAAAGGAGCCCTTGGAGGGGGCAATGTATTCTCCTGTGGCAGTCAGGGTGGGCCTCATGGAGAATGATACTTGCCTGAGGTGTCATGGCGTCTCATCTCCTCAGAGGGAGACTCTATACAGGTCTGAAAGACAGAGAGAAATGAACCTCTTTCCTCCCAGAGAAGTGCAGCCTGTGAAGAATCTCTAGGAGGTGGTGCCAACTTCGTTCTTGTGAAGAACTGTACAGTGGTCCCTCCCTCACCCCAGCCCTAACATGTGGATGTCATGCTCTGAGAAGCCAGAGACTATGTACCATATGTTGCTGCGACAGCTGGGATGGGATCACAGCTGCCAGGAAAGTGGGGTCCAAGCCATCCTGACAAATGACTCGAGCCAGCAGGGGCTCCCGGAGGACTTCCCTGGAACTGCCAGCCTCAGCCTGGGACAAGGATGCTCCTCCTGCCTGAGCATCCCCGAAGAGCAGGGAGGGACAGCTGGCTGTCTCTGCACCTGAGGTAGGTCCTCCTGTAGGGGGAACTTCATTCTTGACTCACTCTTCCAAGCAAAATTAGAACTCGGGGTGTTGGGGGAGGGGGCGGGAGGGCACACACCTGGGGAGATGCAGGGTTTCTCCTACTGCCTCCCTGCCCTGCTTTGTACCTTTAAGCCTCCATGGACTCTGATCTTTTCTGCTCTGTCTTCCCAGTGCTGTCTCATCCCTGCCTTTCTTACCATCTCTTTTTCTCTGCATTCTTTCCTTCTTTTCATTTTCATTTTCTTTGTCTTCTTTTCCCTTCCTTCTGGGCTTTCCCTCCTTGGTTGCTTTAAATCTCTTCTTCCTTCCTTGTCTATTTCTCTCTCTCTCTCTCTCTCTCTCTCTCTCTCTCTCTCTCTCTCTCTTCCTCATCTCTCCTCCCCCATTTTCATTTCAGTTAAGGTCATACCTTGAACTCTGGGACACCTGTGACCCAAGGTATCTAGCAGGAAGAATTCCCTTTTCCTGACGTCCCAGTGGGGAAAACCTGGACTTACCAAACAAGATGAGATGTTGTGAGGTTAGAAAAATATCTCCCAGAAATTTCCTGAATGTGCAAGGATAAAACAGAGAAAAAGGGAGGGATAGAGGGAAGGAGAGAAAGAGTGAGAAAATATGTTACATCCCAGGTAAACATGCTGCTTTATGGCACTGGAGTATGTCCATCTTAGGGTCCTCCAATATTAAGAGGGAGAGTAGACATAGTAAAATAAACAGAAAAGTGGACTTAGAGGGAAAGGCATAGATTGGAGTTAGCCTGGGCAAAGCCTTAACTCAGTGGAGGCCTGATGACTGTTCTCAATTCAAATGAAGCCTTGCTTAGTCGCTGGCTGGCTTCCTTGTGCACTGAGGGCAGATCCAGAGGAAAAGGCATCATTCCCAGTGGTGCATGGTACAGAGGATGCCCTTGATGTCTGCCAGTCCATGAGGAGAATGTGTGGGTTATCCTTCCTGGAGGTGGTGGAGTATAAGGTTAAGTCCTGTATCAGGACATCAGGACAGCCCAGGGGCCCTCCAGTGGGCAACCTCTGGGCTCTTAAACTAGCAACAGAGAACATTTGGGGGTGACAGAAATGTTCGAAAATAGGACTGTGTGGATAGTCATACAGCCAGGACTGGGAGGAAAAAAAGGTCTTGAGTCTGATAACCTGGGGGCTTCACCTTGGGCTGGGAGAAAAGTTTGGTTCTAGAAATCAGTTAGCATCTCTAAGGATAGAGTAGACTGATGTCAGGAATGGAATGATAGTTATTTTCTTCTGCCACATGGGGACACTTCAGAGCTTTCATGCAGCTGCTCTATGCTGTTTGTGTACAATACTAAGAACTCTGTGTGTGTGTGTGTGTGTGTGTGTGTGTTGATTTTGATGATCAAACTATTGTGAGCTTTACATGCATTTTCTTTCTCTAAAGCTATGTCAGGCCAGCAGGTATGGCACTAATGATAAATATGCCAGGCATTGTTCACTATATATGAGTAGGGCAGTGAGCTTGCCAAGAAATTTACTCTTTGTTGGCCAAAAAAGCAACCACCACCACTACCACCAAAACCCACAAACATACTGCAAACCCCACCCAATCTTTGCACCTGTAAGCTCAAAATTCCCAAAGCAATTGCACAGGAGCCAAAGTTTTATTTTCCCCCAGCCCTTCCCCAACTACTCCCAGTGGTCATTATTAACCCTTAACAGCCCTTTGATGAGTACCTAGTAGTCCTTTGGTGCTTTGGCTAAACAGAGAAGTGGAGGTGACAGCTTCGCTTACCTTACCTTTCATATTATCTCAATCCTGTCCCGCTCTGCTCTTGCTTTGCTGGTGCCTACAGGACACCTTGGAGCTTTTCCCAGATGACACCTTTCACTCCTGTCACCTATCATTGCTTCTCTCCACTGGCTGAAGACTTGCTTTGGGCAATATTTCTGTTGCCCCACATCTCTGTGTAAATGCCAAGATAGATTCCCAGAGAATGTCATCCTCCTGGGA